TTTGATTACCCGACTTGTACAATGCTCTCTGCATCCCATCACATGAAACGTAAATGAAGTGGAAAGCTGGCACCGGAACGTCTCCTCAGCCTGCTTGGTCTATGCCACGGCAATTGTCTCAAATGCAGCTGCAGCATGGCCCAGGCCCACACGTACACTCTGGTTGTATAAATAAACACGTGTATAAATGAGGGCTTGGGCAGCAGAGGAAATCATTACATCTCTCTGTGGATATAAGGTTTCTTTATACATTTTTTCATACAGTTGCTGTGGAGAAAAGCCTGGTTGGTGCAGTGGTAACGCATGGGCTTGAGAGTCAGACAAACTGAGAACCAGTTGCTGTGCGACAGTGTGCCAGTCATTCAACCTCCCTGAGCCTTCGTTTCTCCACTTGTGAGTGAAGAGGAAGTGCCTTCCTCAAAGGGTTATTGAGAAATTAGTGCCCTGGGCACCTGACACACCATGGAAGCATAGGTGATCCCGGCTGGGATGATGTTGATCCATTCCACTCCCTTCTCAGGTGGGAGGTAGGTAACAGGGAAACTCACATGGCTCCTCCAGAAATATGAAGTTACGTGTACATGTTTTGTGTGTGGGAGGGGTGGGGGTATGTTTGGGCAGTGTGTGTGTTCATAGGGGTAAGGTGTGTACATTGAATGACTACCCTTAGATGAACATGAAAATCCATGACCACTGTGGGCAGTTGCTGAATTTAGCTCTACAACATCAAAGTTTCCCAAGCACTCCTCCTCCGAGAGGGAAGCATCAGAGAATTAAGTCACTTAGTCACATATTTTCCATCTCTGTAACATGCTCCTCATTCACCCCAGGACTGTCAACACAGCTGTTCTCTACACCAAGCCTAGGTGTAGACAGCTTTCTAAACGGGGTGGCAAGTCCATCAGTTCTGGTTTAATAGACATGGTATTAAGTGTTTTCTAGTTTTGGCTACTGTACTCAATAAATCATCTTCTCTGGAGGAAATAAGGAGTGAAAAATAAGAGGGAAAAGAGACAAGGCATCAATCTCAGCTGATAATGATCCCCGGTGCATCTTTCTCAGGGAAGCATTT